TTAACCTTCGTAAACTAAACCCATCGAGTATGATCTATTCTAGCTTGCTTTAATAGGCCTATATTAATTATACTTAGCAATAACAAATAACTTTTGTTTTAACCAAAATTTTTCTGTGCTATACACTACTTAATGTACAGCTTCTATTGCATAGGGAATCGTGGACATCGTACAGACAATCTGCGATTCACTCAAACGAATCTGGTACATCACTGATGCACATGATGGTACAGTGCTAAAATTTGATGGACCTTATCTGTAGCTATTCTACACCCATTCGGGCCCCTCTAAAATGGACAATTTTATCAAAATCTACTCTAACTAAATCTGACCTTATTTGATCTAATTTCATTTAGTGCAAAGAAATAAAGTCCAGGCAAATATCTTAATTATATATTTTACGAAAACTGCGGAGAGACAGAGACCATTGTGATATATTGCGCTGCCCAATGCACTGCTTTCGTTCGGTTGTATACTTGGGTTGCTGACAGATTGTTCTGCAATACTATTTATGGAATTTTACCAAATCGACAATGCTGGCGACAAGGTTTGACAAATAATCCAATTTTCCACATTCTACTCTTATCCAACCTTTTGGAAGCACATATTTTCATTAAAATCTGTTTGAATTTAATGTGAAGAGTTGAGATCCGGTCAAATGATGCTGACGACAACTTAAAAACGTAATAGGATGCCGAAACTCATATAAATTCTGCTCACAAATGCATCGCTACCATTCGGCTGTAGAAGAGACTGCAGTCCATTCCGATGCTCATAACAATATGGTGGCAAAATTTGGTGAAACGTATATTTGATCAAATTTGCTCTTTGCCCACCCATTCCAGAGCAGATAGTTTTTAAAAATTCTGCTTCCATTAATTTTGATCTTATTGTCTCTATTTTGATCTAACTTGAATTGAAGCAATGCAGCCTGAAAACAGGTCACACTGTGCTAAGTTACTGATAAGGGGCTTAAGAATGGAACTGAAATATGAAGTCGAGTTCTTTCTACGTTGTGTCGTTGGTTGGCATAGTAGTAAGAAAAGGATTTTGCATGGATATAGGCAGATTCTGGTAGCAACCTCGGCTTGGTTAAGTTAGCTGATTTCATAAAATGGATGAAGTTAGAAGCGAGCCAATAGTGCCTCGATTTAGCTAGAAATTGGCTGACATCGGCGGCAAATTTAGAAAAACGAATAAATCTAGTCATAAATTGCATCTTTATTCCCACATTAAGGCAAAAGATCATATATAAATTTGTGCCCTAGGGTTAGATAGATCAACTTGATATTTCCCGCAAAAGCGCCTCAAAGGCTAGTTCAAGCACTTTTTAAAGTTTATTCTGGAAATAGCCTTGATTTTTAGACTGTCACGTGACATACCCAACAGATGTGTGGTTAATAATGCACAAATGCAAAAGACGCAAAGATAGCAAAAACAAAATCTATTGCAAGTGCTCCTTTGCATATGGTTTCCGAGGTTTTATTTAGCTATTATTTCTCTTTGATTTGATTTAAAATCTAAAATTACGCGTATTTGGCGCCGGTGCTTGAAAGAAGACATTCCCATTTTGATTGGTTTCGAAGTTGAGCTAAACAAGCGGAGGGTGCATCATTTACCCTAATTTTGGGCGGGTATAAGAACGATGGGTTAATTCAGATCTATTTTTTTTTATGACAGAGTACTCTGTCTTGCTTCTAGACATTGGTAATCCATGCCATATACATATACACATATAGCACAGGTCTAAGCAGCCTAGCTCCTGCATATGCTCACTGGCCATCGAAATCGGCGAGAGAAAAGGAAAGAGGCTCAGTTTATGTGGCTCGGAGTTCAGTATAGTTGACTTAGCGCGCTAAATGAGGCAGCGATCGGATGGGTAGAGGGTAAAGACAGCTCTGCGGCTGAGTCAGGTGTAGCAGAGATAATTCTACCGTCTTTCCTCTCCTATCTTTTTCTGGGCCAGCATGGTCTAGCAGAGCTACTTGGCCCAGTGACAACCCCATGATGAATGCTTCTCAGTTCACTTATCACTAGTGTGGCTAGAGACCACTCTATCATTGTACCAACTTGACAACCATTATCAGAAACAGTACCACAAAATATACCCAAGTGACCAATTTGTGAGTCTTTGGCACCAAACGTCGTTTTCTCACTGGAAACTGACATTAGTCTGCCAGGATATTTGTCATGCATCAGTTTCAAAATGCGTACTCTTAGGTGACTTTTGCATCCAGCAAATACTGGGCAAGTTTCATAACTGCCATGCTCTTATGTGTTTGCTCTAACCCACCATGCAATTTAAAGTGTTTAGTTTGACGTAACGTGCCATTCATCTGCATCAATGACATTTGCGCTTGCGAGCGCGCATAAAATTCGGTGGCTGTCAGTGGCACCTCTATAGTTTTGTGCCCAACAATACCGATGAATACAGAAGTCTACATTAGGGGCACAAGAGGGGTAGATAAGTGCTTCGATCCCACTCTCTACCTGGTTAACACCGTAGATGCGTACCTAAAGAAATGTCAAAAGTTTTCGGGAATCACTCGATGTGCTGATTTTCGCGATATTTCGGTGATGAAATATAGATGTATACACTGGCTGTTTAGTGCAAAATAGCTTCTTTTGCACTAGGCTAGCTATTTTGCTGGTAAATCGGGAGTGATAGTAAACTCGAAAAACCCTGATCCTAGGAGGAGTTCCCTCATTTTAATGCGCTTATAGCGACGGATGTTTGATTTGGCTTCAAAACGCCTCCATAGCCATTCCTATCGACAGTGTTTTACTTTCCTCCTGGATGGTCTAAATCCATATCGACGCACTCACAGTCGTTTAAGCACTTTCTTGATTTTCTGCTATAGATACATATAAGTAACTTAAAGATAAGCATTCTTCCACATGACCGTCGAGTTGGCTTTGGAAATATGGTGCTTCAGAGGTCACATGATGGATCACATGTCTAATGATACTCGCCATTTGCAAAAAATAAAAGCATCCGGCCACAGTGCATCAGCGCAGCTTGCCGTGGTGAGATGGTATGGTAGTGCCGCATTTTACTGGTTCTTAGGCCTCCACAGGAAGCCCAGAGCACAGTAATTTGTGTCAAGTTTCCCTACCTTAAAATTATCAACTATTTAGCTTTTGATTTGGTGTTGAGTATATTGTTAAATGTAGAAATGAATTTTTGTTCTGAATTATGGGAGAATGTATTTTATAAAAATGATATTAACTAGCCAAAGTTTAGTGGAGTTCACAAGAATTCGACCGGCAAACTCATTTAATACCCCTTAATTTAAATCTTGAAGAAACATGCAAATGAAGCCTTGTTTAAAAGGTGCGGAATCACCAGCCATTTTGCAAACTTTGCTCCAATTCAGCTAATAGGCAAAGCTAATCGTCCGAATAAGATGTGCATGGATCGCTTCAAAGTGCTTTAAAAGCCAATTGGAGATCCTAAAAGCAAAATTTGCGAAATGCGTTAGGGCCACTGGAGCTGTAACTATGATAAATCTAGTTTTCATGTTATTACTTAGGGACATCGTTGCCGGTCTAGGTATCAGTAACCTCTTATGAAATGTGGCGAATCGCGCACAGGTAAATCAACATCGCGGACCCTGTAGCATGTGATAGGGAAAAATCAGTACAGCAAGAGCTTTACTAATGACAAGGCGAAAGGCCTACTCTGCTACAAGCATAAATTTGGGCAATTAAGATAAAAAGGAAGAAAAAAGCCACCTTCTAGCAGAAGAAGCAATCGTTTGCGAAGGAAATGAAGCAAAACTGTGTTTTCTCAAGTTTATACATCCATTTGAGCAAATCAGAAATTCTGCTCATCAGTCATGGATTAGAAAGCATTGGACTTCTCTTACATAGACCAGGGCTTGAAGTGCAAGCCGAACACAGAATCGACACAGAATGAATGGTTGTGAAAAGACAACAAATGTAATTTTAAATAAAACCCTACGCAGAAGGCTTACCCGAGTACTCTTATGACAAATTTGTCAAATAAGGTTCGAAATATGGCCATGTAGAAAACTAACACGTACAGTTGAAATGTACTTAAAAATTTGCAAGCGCCTTGAAATTACTGATTTGGAGTTTATGTTTAAAACAGTATAAAACTGTAAGTGGATACCTAGTACTTTGTCATTCCACCATATTATATAATGACCTGTTAGAATTACATGTGCATTATATAAAGGAATTTGAAGTCATGGATGTTCTCTAGATTAGCATGTCTCCGTGTCAGGCATCCACCACGACTAGGTTATACTCCACATAAAGAATTTTCATAAGCAATCTCGATTGTATGAGAAAATGCTATAAAATAAGATGAACTCTATTTTTCTTTCTCGAATCTCCAACAGTTGGTGACTTTGATGCAATTAGTTTCTAAGCCTAGCTGTCACCAATTTAGTGGAGATATGGCTAATGATATGCCCCAACGTCTTCTCGAGAAGAAGGAGAGTATTGTACTGCTGAGTGCAATTATACCAACCAAACATTCTACCCATACATTTTTGGTTTTATCAGTAAATTACAAAATATATTTTGGATCAACAACATCCTCCTCGCCGGTGAGGAAGTACCGATTTGCTTTGGCGTAAGAGATTGGTCAAGACCTCACATTCGCCAATTCTCAATTGTCGACTCGTCTATCAGTCTCTCCTACCACAACAGTTGCCTCAATATTAGCACCAGGTTCGCCC